ATTCTGTTTAAACCTGAAAAGATATAAAACAACGCTGCTGTCTAGCCTCAACTCACTTTCGCTTTGGACGCCGTGGTGAGCAGACAGCAGAAGCAGCAAAAGCAGTCGTCTGGCTCGCCGTGGCGGTGTCAAACGTGTCTCACTACGAGGTGTGCTGAAGGTGTTCTTGGAAAATGAGATCCGTGATGCTGCCACCTACACTGAAAACGCCAAGCGTAAGCGGCGGATGTGTCGTCTACGCTTTGAAGCGACAGACGCACTCTGTACGGTTTCGGAGGTTAAATCATCGCCCTTTAGCAACAAGATGGCCCTTCTCAGGGCCACCAAGCTTATTACAGTAAAGAGTAGGAATAGAATTTATCTGCCTGTTTGCCCATATTCAGCACCACGACCCCAACGACCGCACAAAATGCTCTTGATCTTGATTTTGATCGACTTTTAATCGCCACGGCCGGATATTTTCTACACACAGTTCAATGGAATAAGCAACAATCTAGCATCTAATTCGACGAAGACGACAGGAAACATTTTTGAAGCCGAGTTATTTACGAAAGAGAGAATCGATCAATGTAGATAGGACCTATTGAAAAGTGACGCGAGATTTGTTTTCAGTCGATCTTGTTTTCCGTGCTGAGCACCAATGCTACACTGAAACAAATCGACATGTACCGTTTATTGGATCCATCTTATAACATAGCAATGTCAGCAGATTTATTCATTCTATGTGATGATTGATAGATTCCATTGGATTATCACTTAAAAACTATGACTGCGATATGGAATGATTTCTATCGTAATTTCACATACTTAGTACTTGATAATACTTTGCTTCGAACGTGGTTAGCGAAGGTAAGAAGTATATGAATATTGTCTGATATATTTCATGGTGAAAAACTGTTGATATGTCATGGGTGGGAACAGACATCTAGAAACTAATGGAAAATCATATAAGTTTGCACTATGAGAAAATTCAGTAAAATATACCTGTTTTCATGATCAATATTGCTCACTAAAATATATATCTTATAAGATAATCATGTATATTTTATTGGAGTTGCTTTTACTGATTTTTGACGTTTGTTGATATGTCGCGTGTAAATAGACATGTAGAAACTATTGGACTGTCATTTAACTTTGCAGTATAGGAAAACATGTATATCTCATTGTAATAGCTTGCTTTGATTTTTGACGTTTAAAGATTGTAAACAGATCTATCCCAATCATTAAGGTGATACTCTAAGGAAGCCTTAGCGTGAAACTTTAAAGGCACAAATGTCAGCTTCCACAAAACATACAAATTTGAAATTACTACTCCTTGTTTGCTGTGCTACTACAAACAGAGAGTAGCAATTTCAAATTTGTATGTTTTGTCGAAGCTGACATTTGTGCCTTTGAAGATTCACGCTAAGGCTTCCTTAGAGTATCACCTTAAATAGTCATATAGAAATGCCTTTTAAGAAATCCAACAGCAAGCATTTGTTTTTGCATGTTTTTTCTGGGATGAATATCGCTCCCAATAAAATACATCTTACATGATTGTTCTTTATAAATTATTGAAACAATTTTCAACGATGTTAACGTACACTAATTAAAATGATTAGTTGAACTAAATACTACTAACAACAATGATACTGTATTGAATAATCTTTGTTTGTTATTGTTTCATATGATAATTGGTTCCAGAAAAAAATGTATTGAGATTGAAAAAAAAAAATGATTCTACTGTAATATTTACTAAGTAGTATTCGAACTTCATGAGCCAGTTCTATCAAATCATATAATTTAGTCGTTGATTTATTGCACACAGGTGCATTAAGAAAGATTTGAACAAACCACACCACCGATACGGAACATAAATTTGTCAGTGCTATTTGTCTTCACTCTAGCAAAACGAGCATAAAGTTGCACTACATTCCATGTCGGGAGAGCTGTTCTTACTTCATGCTATTTGAACGAGCTCAATCTTGAAGTCAGCCGTGGCCCAGTGGAATCGAGCACAGACACCGAAAGCATCACACCTCAACAGATCTTGATCGAATCCCAAATCAGCTACAATAAAAAAGGCACAACTGTGAAAGCTCCCACTGCCTGATGTTTATTTTTCGAATTTATTTTTAGAAATCGATTAAATATATGTGTCAAAAGAAGGAGTAAATTTCATGTTATTTTCACATAAACTTTACTTCGATTGATTTATGACACATATATTATATTGTGGTGAAAAGTATAGCTTACCCGCATAAACGCGAACCATCACATGACCTTACCGATAATGGTTATAAATTGTTTATAATCCCTGCTAAACTTCAACTGAAATGGTTATGGAACTTTACATGAACGTTTAATGATAAAGTTTTAACCTTAAGTATTATAGTTTTTTGGAAGTGGACCTTACAAATAATGGGTTGTTAAGAACCATTACCATTCAAAATTCTTGTTTTCTCCATACATTTTTGGAAAGAGAACTATATTAGAACGTTTTTACTTATGGTTTGAGAACATTAATGGTTATGGTTATGGTAGTCAGTAAGGTCTATTAATGGTTTTGTATTATCGCTCAACTTTACGTGAAATATATCGTGAATTGGTAATCAGTAATTTACAGGCAACCAATTCGCGATATATTCCACATAAAGTTGATCGATGTTACAAAACCATTCATGGACCTTACTGGTTACCATAACCATTACCATTAATGTTCTCAAACCATAAGTTAAAAGGTTTTAGTATAGTTTTCTTTCCGAAAATGTATGGAGAAAACAAGAATTTTGAATGGTAATGGTTCTTAACAACCCATTATTTGTAAGGTCCACTTCCAAAAAACTATAATACTTAAGGTTAAAACTTTATCATTAAACGTTCATGTAAAGTTCCATAACCATTTCAGTTGAAGTTTAGCAGGGATTATAAACAATTTATAACCATTATCGGTAAGGTCAATTTATGGTTCACGCTTATGCGGGTATGCTTATGGGTTTCAAATCCATTTCAGTTAATTATTATAATTTGATCGATTTTCATTTATCATATGACGATCATATAAAAGTTACCAAATTATCAGCATTGTAAATGTATCAGATATTCATATAGAATTTACCTGACACATTTTCAATCATATCATTTTCAATGGATTATCTTATAGCGCAAATTTATTAGACTTCCACATAACAGGAATATGTCAAATTCGTTCAGTGTACCGACGCCAGGGAGGCAGCTCCCACACCTGGACCCTACCTATCGATCCATCAATTCATGAGCCGGAGACCAACGGCTTTGCTTCCCTTCAGAAGGAAGGCGCGATCAGAGATGTTATGCCTCAGAACATGCCGACTGAGATTGAATATAGAGAATATAGAGAATATGTGAACGATCAATTAAAAGAACTAAATTTTCTTCACATTTGTTCCGTGCCCTAGCAGTCCTACGTCAAGCTCCCATTCGTGCCCATAGGCACAGACCCTTCTACTTTTTTTCGGATAATAAAAGCTTTTCAAGATTTCTTTCCTATACCACAACGTGCAAAATTTTGAGACCATCATCATTCTTCTAGCAACGGCGCCGGTGGTGTAGTGGTAAGCGTGATTACCTCTCACCCCAGCAGGCCTGGTTTCAATCCCAGTCGGCACCGCCGGGATGTTCTGAGGCATAACATCTCTGATCACGCCTTCCTTCGGATGGGAAGAAAAGCCGTTGGTCCCCGGTTCATGAGTTGATGGGTCGTTAGGTAGGGTCCAGGTGTGGGAGCTGCCTTCCTGGCACGTCGGTAGCATTGGTGCTCAGCACGGAAAACAAGATCGACGGAAAAAACAAACCAAAGGAAAAAAAAAAAATCATTCTTCTATTTCTCCTATTCGCCACGAGCGCTATCGTTAGATCGCCAATTGGTCCCAAGCAAATCGATTAACGTATCCCATTCTAGTCGAAATTCTAGACCTACACTATGTTAGTTTTGATTCGCTATGAAAGTTTTACAGATAAAATGAGAGGTTCGTGAATTTCCCTATGTTTTGAGGGGTGCATCGATTAGTTTGGGACCGAAGAGAGTACCAGAGCTGAGCCAGAAAGTTGAGCACGTTTCTTCCGGACCTTCTGGTCTTAGAGTTACCTCTATGGTATTAGTATGCGTGGGCGATCTATCGGTTACGCCAAACCGACGATCAAATTCATTGTTTACAACAGTTGATACGTCCCTTCGAAAAAATAATCGTGACTTGTTTACATTTGCTACTAAGGACCTTTTGAAAAGTTATGAGAGAATATTGACAGTTTTTGACAGAAGTGACAAGTACACGGTTATTTCAAAACTTGCTATTTTGGTGTTAATGGCGTATACTTCCTATAATCGTATATCAGTCCCATATGGATTTTCGTCAATTTTGAGATAACAACACTATCCACTATCAATTGGCATCTACTTTCATTTTATGTGATAAAACAATGGATTTTGATCATGAAAAATATGAAAACGACATCAAGTCAGTTTGTCCCATCAAGCAAAGTAATCGCATATCAATCCCATCCTGAAATTCAATCGTCCATAGTTCACGTTCATGTTCTGCTTTTCGAATTGCCATATATTTTTCACAGATACCTATAGCAAAACATGCATGCTTCATTGGGACAGATTTTAACTTGAAAAAAATATCAATAAATTTACTATGATTTTTTCAAATATTTACATGAGAATTGCACTTCGTAACTTCCCTAATAAAAATGCTATGGTTAATTTGCTAGACGACGTGTTCTGGGTATGATCCAAACAATTTGTGGAATAGTTCAATCATTTGGGTTATCGTTCGTTTATGGTAATTTTTTATTAGAGTTTGACTGACATTTCCTCAATGCCTACTTTCCCCATATATGGGACTGATATGCGATTATAGGCAGTATACTTCCACTCGAAATATAAAAGTACAGTTTAATTTTGATTGTGACAGCATAACAGCTTTGTTTACATCTTATTTATATCCCTACAGTAGTTGATACCGTATAGATTTTTTGTAAACGAATCCCACAATTGTGGGAAATGGACGAAATTTCTACCCCCGGTGCAGAACCATCCGGGTCAGCCAAGATGGAAGATATACCGGAAGAGTGCCGGCTCTGTTTGGATCCGTTTGCCGAAAATGTTGTCACAGTCGAAAACCCGGAGCTGAGGGATCGAATGGAGAAGGTGTTCCATTTCTCGGTAAGTTGGAACTGAACTTGGCTTGGAAATTGAGAACCACCAACATACCTTTATTAGTAATCAATGGTGATTTAGCTGATTTTGAACCATTTAAACTAGGTAGCAATGAATGCAAAAATGGTACAGGTTTAGAAATATTTTCATTAATTATTTTGTCAAGCATTTGCACTTATCTTCTATCAGATGTCACAATGTTTACAACTATGGAAGTGCTCAAAGAATACTTGATTGAGGATAGGCAGGCGCAAAGTTCCAGAGCGGACGTAATAGCCGTAAAGAAGAAGAAACTTGAAAGAGCCACTGTGAACTCATCAGAAGATGTTTAAGGCAAGACAAGGACCTTACAAATCATGATTTCTAGAGGGATTTTAGGACGGGTTCATCCGAAAGGTTTGCGTGGATGCAGACAGCCGAAAGTCAATTTCCGAATACGGGTTCACGTTCGGTGGAGGACCAAATTTTCGCGGCTCTCGTAAGCAAACCTTTGCACTAAGCAGTATCGAAGCCGAATGTGTGGCGCTCGCTGAGTTTTTATGCAAGCTAACATCGTCCAATTACTTCAGGATGTGTTGCTTTAAAGTTAAAGCTTCTGTATTGATACCCGAGCACAAGTAGTTCTGCATAAAGTAGCGAAAATCAGTAATCGTTGGAAGGGTAATTTTGTCCGAAAGATACTCGAATTACTGGTCAACTAATCAAATTGTGGCCGATATGCCTACTAAAGTCTCGGACAGCCCAGAAGTTGACCAGGTTCCGAGAAGCTGTAGGTGTTCAGCAATCGAGTAGGATCCAACGGAAATTTTTAGAAGAGTTTTAAGGATCGCCTAATTACGGTACGGGAACGGCTAATTACGAGAAGAGTTTCAAGGGAACTTTCTTATAAAATTAGGGAGAATTTCATGACCAGTAGAATTTAAAGGAATTAATACCATGAAAATTGTGTTTTTCCAAAGTCCACATTTTCCATAAGGCCAGGGAAATTACATCTGGATTGGAGCAGGAAAGACAATTTGTACAATTGCTGAGTAATTTAATCCTAAAAAATGCCGATAACTGATGGAAATTATGCATCGCAAAGAGCAGTCTTTCTTTTGCTAAAGGCTTGCTCTGTTTAACTAATTGATTCCGAAGCACTGGCGTAAACATTTATTCAAATAATTTAAGAGCTGTACTTCCACTCTTCGCATGTCCGTCCCATGGCGAAAATCAGCAAGCCGAGCAAATCGCATTTTAATTTTGATTCGTACTGATTGCTTCTTCTGTGACGAGACAACCAATTTGGCTGTCTTTCCAAACTTTTTTTCAGAACAAAATTATTGAGTTCATCCAGTATTATAAAAATATGGGTAATTAGGTACCATTTGCATTGAAAAACTCAGTTTTGTACAAAAACTATTATGGGACCGACATGCAGTGTAAGTTCTGCTACATACATTGATATATAAATCGGTGAAAAATTTCGAAGTTACATGCTCCGAATTTTAGACAAAACTACTGTTTATCAATCTACGGGCTGCGACCCACAGGTTTTTTTTCACATGACCTAAAACATGTTGGCACTTCTCTAGTCATTTCGGTATTTCAAAATTAACTTTCTACCATGATGATTTAGATTTGTATTTGCGAGGATCTGAAGCTTCTAAATAGTGTTAATGTCCCTAATGGCGGCCTACTAAGTGTCGCTAGTATTGGGCCTAGAAAAATTCTATCTGGAAATAAATCGTTGGCTGCAAAAAGTAATTTGATCGATTTTGAAACGGTCCATTTACTTCTGGCAGTTTAGTGGTACATTTCCAAGGACATTACGTCACAATGCTACGCAGAAATGGTACCGCAAACCTTCGACAAAGACGTCATCATCTAAATCATTCAAATAATTTCGTGTTCATATCCGTTTCCTTCAATCATGATCATAACTATGTTCTCCACTGCCATGACCGTTACTAGGAATTCAAAATCAAATCTCAAAGCATTCCCTAAAAAAAAATCAACACTCTCACTCACACACTTCTCACTTCCAGATCGAAATCGTGGAAAAACTGCCCTCAGGCGTTTGCCAAACTTGCGCAACGCTTATAAACGAGTTCTACCGGTACTCGGAAAATGTTCGCTCAAACCAGGGCCAACTGATTTCTCGGCTGACCAGAAAATCCCAACCACTGCCAGTAGAGGAAATCAAGGTGGAACCGTCGTTAGAATTTCCCGAACCGGACGAATCGATCAAACCAAAAGATGAATCACCGTTGCCACCGCCAGCTGAAGACGGGGAAGAGAACATCGACAACCTGGAAGTGTACGCAGACCTGTACGATCCTCCACGGAAGCGCACGCGGAAGAAGCGAAAGACGGCTTCCTCAAGGAAAAAGGACCGATCGACTTCATCGGACGCAGATGCAGACGGAGAGAAACCGAACCCGAAACGGCAGGCAAGGAAGTATAACGTAAAGACCAAGGAAGAACACGAGAAGGACGAGCAGTTGGTATCGGAGTTCTACCGCATGGTTTGCGACCTTTGCGGAGATCATTTGGAGAATTTTTCCTCCCTGGATTCGCACTTCCGCGAGAACCACGATCGCTCCGGATTCGTAGTGTGCTGCAACAAGAAGATCTTCAAGCGGTGTCTCATGGTCGAGCACATGAAGCTCCATACCGACCCGTCGGCCTACCGATGCGAGATTTGCAACAAGAACTACAAAAACAAGGTGTACCTAGCGATGCACCAGGTGAAACAGCACGGACGAGAGGAAGATCGTCCTTTCAAGTGCGATCGCTGCAAGCAGTCCTTCGCCAAAAACTACCAACTCCGAGCGCATATGGTGGCCCACGAGAAGGTCCAGTGTCCGCAGTGTGACCGTATGCTGGCCAGCAAGATGGCACTGAGCACCCATCTGTCCAATATGCATTCCGATAAGGACCGGAGGATGATCTGCGATAGCTGTGGGAAGGAATTCCTGAACAAGACTTGCTTCGAGCGGCACGTGAAGGAACACATGGGCATCGAGGTGCATCCGATGCTCGAGTGTCACATTTGCCACAAGTGGCTCAAAGGGGAACGGTGCCTGCAGAAGCACATCCGGTACACGCACTACGAAACGGAACAGACGCACGTGTGCGACATCTGCCAGCAAAACTACCCGAACTCGAGAGCACTGTGGAGTCACAAGCGGGCCGTGCACGTGGAGGAAAAGTTCGAGTGCGAGTTCTGCGGGAAGCGCTTCAAGCGGGCGGTCAATTTGAAGGAGCACCGGACCATCCACACCGGTGAGGTGCTGTATGCGTGCGAGTTTTGCGGTGCGACCATGAATTCAAATGCCAATCTGTACACACACGTCAAGAAGAGCCACCCGGTGGAGTATGCGGAGAAGCGTCAGCTGGCGGCGTGCGGCAATGCTCCGTCGAGGGCGTAGGTGAGTAGGGGTGAAGGGACGGAGATGGGTTTGATGTAGACAAAGCTTAACAAGGAATGAAACATGTTGAAGTTATTTGTGCCGAAATATCGTTATGAGTTTTAGGGACTGATCTACACAGCACAAACCCCGCTCGGGGCGGCGAGGTCATATACCCCTCTAAAAAACTACAAGGGACAGCCCTATAGGGTGGTCCGCACTGGTGACGTAGAACTACGTGGGCTTATATAATAAATCTTATTTGTTAACTGCAGCAGAAGCTTGTGTTTTCTGTAGGAATAGGAATTTGAGCGGAGATCTCTCTGTTTATACTCTTTAGTATGACGCGCTTGACATAGTGGCCCACAGCAACTCACGAAGAGCTAATGATTCCGATCAATAACGGTGCGGCTTCTTCTTCTTTCTTTGGATGCTCATGTGCGCTGCAGCTCGCTGCTTCCAGACAGCCTTTCGTTGTTTACTGGAGAACACCACCACCCACCACGCGATGATTAAATAAACACCGTTTGGTGAGATCAGATGGAATTCAACATTGAAATCTGTGTTAGGGAAATCGCTTTTCACAGGCAATCGGTTTTCAAAGCAACAGTTGCACATTCGTGCAATTTTCAATAGTGACATTTTGAAAAATGATGAATTTTTAAATTTAACAGATGCGTAGAAATATATCTGATCGATTGGTGATAAAATTATTGAATTTGGTCCACCGGCAGCTGAGTTATTAGCGTTCAAAATCTTTCATAATTTTGATACATGTTCTATTTTCGGTTTTCACAAAGTGTACCCCCATATAGAAATCACAGACGTAGTCCTACGTCAAAAATAGCAGGTGATTGATTTAGATTGGAGTTATTTGTCTCCATGTCAGGTTGCCAAGTAATGATTGAATGGATCTTTTTTTTCCAGATGAAGAAGTCTGTCCAATGTACTCTGGAGTTCTTATCTGAAGATCAGCGATATTGCCACCAAGGATGCCATTATATCAGATTTATCAGGCTTTTCTAGATGTTTGCCAACTCCAGACAAAAAGACAGGCCTGGTGTTCGGCAAGATTTTTGATAAGCTGGCTGTTTTTACAAATAGATACATTGAAATGTAAAGCAAACAAATAATGTAATGTGTAACTCGCGACTCATTGTGGACGTTATATATTTATCAATATTATCTTGTGTTGTTCACCAACTTAATTGAAATTTAGGAGAAACAATGGGTGAGGAACAAAATAGGATAATGATGTCTGGAATGGTGTAGGTCCTGGACTTCTATACATTTGCAGAATTCTGTCACTGGAAATATTGATGAGGATTTTTTTAAGATTCCTTGGGATACCGCCAACCCAACTAACAGACTTGGTTTTACCACCGTCTTGTGGAACATGATTTGATATTAAGAAAGCTTTAAAACCTCGGTAAAACTTTAAGTGTTGCTAAGGGATATCTGAAAAGAATTCCTAGATCATTTTTAGGGACAATTTCAACGGACTTCTGACCAGAACTACAAAGAAATTTCGAGATAAATTCCACGTGATTTTTAGATAATTTGAGGAGAATTTCTCGATTTCCCTGGCCACACAGCTGTTACACAATTATACCAATGCAAAAATGGTACTGGCTTAGAAACTGTAGAAATGCTCGAAGAAGACTAGTTTGAGGGCCAGCCAATAGTCCCAGTAGGGACGTAATACAGGCAAAGAAGAAGTAAGTAGAGGAACCTTTCATGACGATCCAGATTCAACTCTAAGGAAGAATTCAAATATGTATTGAAGAGAGAAAAGAGGTGAATTCCAATGGATTTTTTAAGAGAATTTAAATGGGGTTCTGAGGTGAGCCCCAACCGAAAGGAAATCAAATGTTGAGAATAGCTTCAAAAAAAAATCTGAGGAACATTTCAAGGAATCGAAGAATTCCAAGGGAAATCTGAGGACTATTCTAAAATCATTCTAAGGAAAACTTCAAACGAATGCTGAGGAGAGTATCAAGAAAATTCCAATGTTATTGCATTCTGAGGATCACTTCAGATAATTCTAAATTCAAGAACAACATGTGGAAAGGGCATATAAGCTTTTTGTAAACAAACCTTTGTAGGCCTTTTTCTCGACATCCATGCAAACCATCAACATCATTCCCCTTACCTTCGGTTGACGAGGAAAGGGCCTACAAAGGTTTGTTTACAAAATGCTTGTATGCCTTTTTCACATGTGGCTCTTGAAATTAAATCTGAAAATAGATCCAAAATAATTCCGAGAAGAAATGTCTGGTTCTCAGGATAATGCAAAGGGGATGAGGGGAGTTCCTAGGGAATGCTGAGGATGATTGAGAGAAATTTACGTGAAAGCTATAAGAATAACTCTAAGGGAAATTTTGAGCAGAATTTAGAGGAGAACTCTGAAATGGTTGGGAGCAGAAATTTTTACGGCGTTTTTGGAGCTGAATCGAATGAGTTCTAAATAAAAATATAGAAATAAACTTCAACGATCACTCAGAAGAATTGTGAAGAATTTGAAGAAAATCATAAGATGAATCCAAGAATTATATGAAGAGAAATCTCAGAGAATTTCGGAAGTAAGTACCGTAAAGTGCCATAATTCTGCGCACCTAAGGCCGAATTCTGCGTAGTTTTGAAAATTTATAAAACAATTATAAATTGTACATAATTTGAATTGAATTGTAGATGAAGGTAGGTATTAACCACGGGAGCGGGTCTTTTGGCCTTGGGACGTTTCACCGAATGGGTCATTTCATAGAAAAGCGAGCCATTTTCTACGATTTTAACTTTTGACCAGTGGCGTCTCGTCCATATGTGCACCTCGTGCATTGCACAGTCTCGAATTTTCAAAAAGTAAAATTTATATTTCATAAAAATTAAGAGGCAAAAATTTAATACTCAATTAAAACCATTTTTGTCCGCCCTATTTATTGGTTTCATATGGATCGTAACTGAATTATCCACTGGATAGTAGCTGAATTGTTTACCACATCGCTGCTCAACCTCCGTTTTACCCACCACTGAAAGAAATGTACGTAAAACAGAAGCGAGGCATGGCGATCTTGTTTTCACGTTTTCACTGGGATTTTACCACGTGCAGACAACACTCTTTTTGGGCTTCTATGGCGAATGAGCGACACAATATGCCTTCGTTCTACCAAAGCCACGGCATGCTTAGTTCTCCCAGTCTGAGCACTTAAGCTGTATAGATCAGTGCACGAAGATTTGCCGCACTCTTCCCTCTCCCGTAAATTTTGACAGTTTTGGGTGGTTTGTTTTGGCTCCCATTCGTTGCCATCTCTTTTACTCACAGACAAAATGATAGGAAGCAAAAAGTGAGGTTAGGGACCGTGCACTGATCTATTCAGATCTGAGCGATATTTCACGCGCGGAGAGAGATTTTGCGAAGGTACGAGAGGGAGGAAAGTACTAGTTGTCTTTCTCATTCCAATGCAAATTTTGCTCCGCTCCGCTAATGTACGCTTAGATTTGAATACACCTTAACACCAGAAACGCTCGTATTTACAACCAGATCAGTTGTATATGTATTGAAGTCCCGTAAGCATAATTGCCGCTGTGTTAGTGTTTATTTTGTGCACTTCTATCTTTGCACAGTTTAAAGAGAAGAGAATAAATTGGCACGTATAGGCAACGTCGCATTTGAGTTTCTCTCTGAATTGATTGAATCTTGGAGAGCCATCATTCGTTGTATACCTACCTACACGCACACATCGAATTTTTAAATTTTTAAATTTTCTCACTGCCATGTCTGCATTTCATTCAGTAGCCTCAGCGCATTGATGGAATATTGTTCATAGCATAGTGCAAAATTAAATAGGAATCATGGAACAGGATATTATTGATGACCTCCTGAAAAGACCGTTTGCCAGAAGATCCATGGAGGAATAAATGCTTATTGCGAGAATGGACGTCCCACGATCAAAGTTGGACAACTTGAAAACGACATGTTAAAGAAATGGTAAAATCATAACGCGGAACTTTGCCGAAAATGGACGAGTGGAAATTGTTGGTTGTGTCATGCTCGAGGAAATTGCGCGGGATGTGGAGCATTTCGAGGAAATCGCAATTGGCATCAACTCTACGCTACTGCTTAGGAAACGGTGAGTAACGATGACAAATATCATAAACATGAGACTTAAAAAGAAAATCAATGTTTCTATGCAAGAGTAAGCAAAACTGGTAGCAGAACTGTTTCCCATTATCATTTCGTTTATTTTTTATACAGGTACCCCCGTCGAAAGATTTGTATCCCATTTTTTTATTATGCATCAAAATTGGCTTCTACTCTTACAGACAAAATATAAATAAAATAGATGCACAACTAGTGAATTTTCTCACGTGACGCCACTGCTTTTGACGTAGGATTACGTCTTTCGGCAACATATTGGGGGTGCAATTTCAAATACTAAAATCGACCGCATTACAAAAAGTGGTCAGGATTTGACCACTTATAACTCTGCCAATAGCGGATTAATTCTAAACAAGCCAGTCAATTGGATTGCTATCTACGAATCTGCTGAAATGAACACTCTATCAATTTTTAAAAGGTCACTATTGAAAATTGCACGAATGTACAACTGTTTCTATAATAATGAAAATTATTACCAATTGACTGCGAAAAGCGCTTTCCCTAACACAGATTTAAAAATCGAATTCGCTCCGGTCGCACCGAACGGTGTTTATTCAATCACCGCGTGTGGTGAGTGGTGGTGTCCAGTGGTCTCGGCACGTGGCGTTGAAGATTGTTCTCCAATACACGACGAAAAGCTGCCCGCAAGTGTGAGCTGCAGCCCACTGAGCGGTTCATTCGCCGAAGAAGGAGGAAGAAGTTGCACCGCTACTGATAGGATTTCAGTTGCTCGTCGTTAGCCGCTATGGGCCATCTATGCCAAGCGCGTCATCGTTCCAAACAACATACAGCTTACTAGATCAGCATTACTCAACCATCACGGCAAAACGGTCCTTTTAAGGAACACCATAAATTTGTTAAAGAGTATTATTTGGACACTTCTCGCGTTAACTTTCAAATAGACCTATCTACATTGATCGATTTCCTTCATCGACTCTCTATTTCGTTAAAATTATCATCGATTGTCTCTTTGATGCAATAAAATTCTTCCCGAATTTTCTTAAT